TGATAAAATAGGGCAGACGACGTTATTTGATTAATTAATTTATCATACTTTCATTGTCAGATTTAACAGTAATAAAAATGGTGAAATTATATATATAGATCGCATGTTTATCGTGTTGTCGTTGTTTTTGGAATATTGATGAGGGGCAGGAGCTTCGCAGTATATAAATTGTTTTAATTGATTATCTCAATAAGCTTGTTCTATAAAATGACGTTTCGTTTTCTTTATGATATTTTAAAAATTATCTGTGTTTCTTTATTTCCTAGAGGCTCGCATCCTGGAGTTTAATGTGACCTCTAGAAAGTTCACCAACTTGAAAGCTCCTATATTATTACTTTTTACCTTAAACATACCCACAACCTTGCAAAATTCCTTGTTTCTATGTTACAGCCTTCCACGACCAAAGACATCACTATCATTGGCTCTTTTCACTTTTCCCGCGTAATTAATCAAACTTACTCTTGGACTAAAATATGGCTACTTTTGACAACAAGCTAAAAATACCTATTTTTATATAAATGGCCCATATAATCATGTATGCCATACCTTGATACCTTGTTAATCAGAACTTCACTATCACAGACAAGATTAAGAGAATATCAATGAATGTCCCCCATGTTAACTTTATGTTGGTTTTAAAACTTTTCCTACGATTGAAAACTTTCTATGGCAACAACAGACTGTTTTCCATCCTCTTACTTTTCAAGGCTCGGAGGGAAAACAGTGAGGTCGCTATGTTGCAAAATGAAACAACACCTTAATATAGATAACAAATTAGATAAATGATGCTTGGACCTCTCCAAAATAGCTAAAAATTGGGACATACGATCAATTTACATAATTTTATAATTTTAATTACTGTTAATTAATTTAATTACTGACCCTGAGCTTCAGTGAAAGATGCTTTATAAATTAATAAATTAAATTAATTAATATTTCCTTATACTGAATAATTTTTATGGTCTAATTTATATTAAATTTATTCTACTCTTCCAGTGTTTCCCGTAATGTTAATAATTACACTTCCTTATACTGAATAATTACACTTCCTTAATTACACTTCCTACTTTTCCAGTGTTTCCCGTAATGTTAATAATTACACTTCCTTATACTGAATAATTACACTTCCTTAATTACACTTTCTACTTTTCCAGTGTTTCCCGTAACGTTAATAATTGCGTTTAGTTTCTAATAATCAGATAGTTTTATAGATATTTCCTGTTTTTTTCAAGGCACAACAGATGGAATCTCTGTTATTCCGAAACGTCTATTCAACACATATTTATTCTAATCGTTTTCCTCTGATATTTTATTAAACTGTGGTTTCCGACACATATATCAATTGCTCACACGTTGTTTGTGCAAGTATCTTATGTGTGTCTGTATATGCTATTTCCTACAATTCTGAGAGAATTAGAATTATACTTTTATTTACCTTGTGTTTACTCTTTTAGTCAACGATGATAATGCTTTCTAATTAAATGAACTACTTAAAGAAACTTGTAAAACAAAATAAAACATGTCATTTACAAATGCTTATTTTTATACCTGACGAAGATATGTGTATAACATACATTGAAACACATGCTCATTTGTTCAACAAAATCATGTTTATTTTGTTGTGATGTGCATTGTGAAAGAAGAAAAAAGGGTATTATAAGTTTGTAAAGTAAAAATAATAATTCTTTTTATTTAAAAACAAACATTTTTTCAAGAATAATCAACGGCTCTGTTAGTGAAAACGTGTAGATAGTTTTGTTTGTTTTCAATGAAATATTTGGCTTTTAAACCTCGGTTCCAATAAGTTTGCAGACACACGTTGGGCATAAGTTGAAGTTTTATATTCACAAGCAAATGTTCATCGCCATATGACGTCAAAATGCTGCTAGTCGCCGAAACCCACAAGCTATAAACTTTAAAAAGGACAAAAAACAAATATATCAACGATAATATATCCGAATACCCGGCTCTGATGGAGAGCATTGTTATTGGACATGGAATAGAAGCGTTTCCTTGTCCGAGCTGGCTGTTGTCCAAACCAATCTTGTTCGCCATCAAAATAAACGGAGAGGTAAAATATTGGAACATATTTGGGGGCCCGTCTGTTAATCATCATTACCACCTTTAGGTATTTTAGTGATAAGTACTGCTTACTTAAATTAAATATAATTTAATTAGCTCGTCAATAAACAAAATACCACTTCTCCGGCGGTATTGGTTAGTAAATTGGGTACTTTTTGAAGACGTACTCTGTCTAATTACAAAACTAAAATATTAATATAAATTATTAAGAAATTATTTCGATTAAATATTAAACGTTTTTTTTTCTTTTCTGCTATTTCGAAATATTTCGAATAATGAATTGACAGAGTGCAATAAAGATAGACTTTAATCTTTCGTTCAAAATGAAACGAAACATTGGATTGTTTGTTTCTTGTTAAGTGCATTGCTACATAAGGGGTTATCTCTTCTCTGCCCACCTAGGCTATAGAAACCCGAATTTTAGCGATTATAAATCCTTAAACGTACAGAAAAACTAGTCTCCTGGTGGGGCGGCGGTAAGTCTTCGGATTTACAACGCTAGAATCAAGGGTCTTCGGATTTACAACGCTAAAATCAAGGGGTCTATTTCCCTCGGTGGATACAGCAGATAGCCGGATTATGACTTTCTTATAAGAAAACACACATAACGAAAAACTGGATGATTTATTTTGCTTTAACAAATATGGAGCGGATGAATTAACGTGTTACGTGTTTATTTATTTGAATAAAATCATCATAGTATTATTACCAAAATTTATTTTAAATATCAAATATATCTGTTCGTGTGCATGAATTTAAGTCAAATGAAAGGCATTCATATAAATATGCCCTATATATAATTTCCAGGCATTATAAATATTTTGATAGTAAGCCAGTCCCTATACACGAAGTTCTTTTTTATGTATAGTGCTAGTTTCCAAGTATATATATGTATATATCAAAACTTTTACAACGTTACTGCAATTTTATACGTCAGTGTTCTAAGCTTTATTCTATACCCTTTTATTTCGTAGATGTAAATACGAACCAACTTTCCAGACTTTTATTGATTTTGTTTATAAGGAAATCTGCCATCAGAATGATAAGTATGTGGTCTAATATGAGGTACATAATTTGGTAGTGAAATATACTTGATAGTTAAATAGTTAAGCAAATAGGACCGAGTCATCTGGTCGTATTGTAAAGATGACACTGACTCTTATATAAACAACTAATTTATTGTGTTCTTGTAAAAGTACTTTTTTGAGAATACTAATGTACATATATATATATATATATATATATATATATAACTCTACAACTTGTTTCCAGAACATACGCTAAAGTAATTAGCTTAAAATAGGAAGACGATTAGTAAATTCAAATGCTATTTTATATCATTGTTATATTTTATTTATTAAACTTTATACAGTATTTCCTGGTCAAAGGAAACTCGTCCCAAAACAAAGGCAATAAATATCTATCAAATGGAAACAAAAATACAACAGCCTATGATCGTAAATCTTTAAAACATAATACAACCCAGATTTTTCTCCAATGATCCTACATCCGTGTGCTGTTCTGTCTTTATTTAAAGAAATAGGATAAAAAAAACAAATGGTCAACATGTCGGTCTCGCAATAAATGACTGAAATATGAAAGCTGGTTGAATTTAATTTGTAATAAAAACAAACAAAAAAAACCTTTATTTATGCTTTACAAAACCTTTATAAGTTAATAATACAAAAACCTACCAATAAACAGTGATTTGTATCGTATAATGAATATAAATGTTTTGTAAAAGAAAGATCGCTGTTGATATTATTTAAAATACCAATTGTTTACCAGAGGGGAAGAAAGTCTAGAAAATTTCAAATAATTTCTACCTGAGCATGAAATAAAAATTATTTTGCTAACTAAAGACCAAAATCTAAAGCCACATAAATCTAAATTTCTCAGAAATATTCGTGTTTTTCTTTATTTCATTAAGCACGATACATCAAATGTTTTGACTATATTTGAAACAATAAGATCTTTGTTCAAACAAATTAATATCGATTTTCAGTTTGATGCTATAAATACAAAATGATATATTTAATGTCAAGTTTTACTCTTTTAAATAACAGCAGCTCGCATGTAATATATTGGTATTGTCTTTCATTTTAAAGTGATATTCATAAAAGAAAGGAAATAATATAAATTATGCTTGCCCTCACTTTCACTTGTTTTGACAGTTCGAGTTTCATCAGAGTGAAAATGTATTTGACAGGGATCAGATGTTCCTATGACAACGGAATGTTTCGAATGAAACGTGTGCTCTCAGTATAAAACAGTATTGATCAATGTAGCTAAAGCAATAATATTTATAATAAATGAGTGTGTAGGAAATGCGGATCAAGACGTACAAATGTGCATTTCCATTAAAAAAAACAACACATGAGGAATGAATCTATTTTCGTAGTTTCATCTTAGTAGTCATAATCTTAGTAATTATTGCACTGCTTGAGGAGCTTGAATATAATTCATTGCATTTGATTTCTCACCAGTAATTAACATAAAAAAGGGAAATATGATACATATATATATATGATTATAAAACTCTGTTGAAATGTTGTAATTGATTGATTTTTATCGTAGTTATATCATTCGAAATAACTAGATGTAGAATTGTAACTTTTAAATGTGAATAAATATTCAAAACGAAGTGACATCATTTGCAAGCAGTATATAGTTGTCCGATTTTCAGATACTTTAAAGAGCTGTTAGGGTTATTGACAATGAAAACGACCATCAACTGACAATAGCAAAAATGGTGGCGAATACTCATTGCAAAGAAACCCTACAACTATTTGATTAGTTAACTAAGTTTATATGAAATATATCTTAAAAACATATTTACTCTCCTGTTATTCATAAAAATTAGAGAAAAAAAAAACGATACAGAGCTATTTCATTTTTCACTTCAAATTGACCAGTACAGTTATTTAATGTTAAGTGAATCGATCCGTTAGTGTTGTTAAGAGCAATGGCATTTCTTCTTTATATGAAGAGAGCTTTATAGCTAACTAACTATCTATCTATATATTATTACTTAAAGATGTTTGTTAACAGACTCATAAATTACTTAATGGAACTACATAAACAGCTTATGTAAACACAACAAACGAATAGCACAATACGTCAGGAGAAGAATCACTGAAAGGTATGACAAAATCTTTGGAAATGTGATAACAAATACATATTTGTCATTACAAGAAAGATAAGCGCCTCCTAAGTCATGTGACTCATCCATCAAGTTCTCACTGTAGACGGAAACCATCCAATGTACGGCTAGGAAATGTACTTTAAAACAAGCTTACAATGACAGAAAGAAAATAAAACGTCTAGAAGCGCAAACCACGAGAAAATTTTTTCCCTCAGTATACTTACTTCTGATATGTGGGAGCTCTTGTCATGTGTGAGCACAGCAGGAATCAACCTTATTGTGTTGATATTGTAGTTTGCTTGATTTATAGCACAAAGAAAATTGAGTGTTATTTTAGAGTTTTAACAAAGTAGAGATAAATTTGGTTGGAAATGGCACAAAAATCAAATACGTAATCAGTGGCCACTCCTGATGATAAATAATCTAAAATACTATGTTAGCCAATTCAGCACGAAATTCAGATTCTTTGAAGCACAAAGTATATGTATAATAAATCAATCCATGTTAAACATTGAATCGTGACACTCCAAGAATGGATTTGATATAATAGTTTCATATTTCTATAAAATAGGTTTCGTAGAAAATTCAAATAAACTCTTTTAAATCATCATACATAAATAATACGAAAACTAACTACCATATATGATTTTATTGAACAAATCTCAATCAAATAAATCTCTCGTATTATTGCTGAATAGCTGTTTCTCCACATTAGTAATATTTTCTTTATATACGATTTTGTTTTCATTGTAAAGTTATTTATGAATTTATAATCTCAAATACTTTCTTAAATCTCTAAAGGAACAAAAATTTTATTTCCGTTCTCATTTTACTAGCGAACAGCAACGTAAAACCACAAGACTATCTTTTACCATAGATTTTATACAAGTTTGGTAGCTCCTAATTAAAAAAAACAAAACAAACCTCATGAAAAACCCATCCAGAGCTAAAACTGTCTTTTTTTATGTATTTTGTGTGTTTATGGTTCGAATGAAAGCTGGTGTAGAGAAGATAACGGATTCGCACACTAGCGGTAACTTAAAAACACCTCTTTCCAGTAATGTTTCAATAATTACATATAAAAAATGCACTTTTTACGAGACCCTGCATATTGTTTGGTTAACCCTTATTTTCACTTTTAATTTTAATACTTTCCTTATTACATAAAAAATACAAAATAAAACTGAAATATGTCTCAGTAGTAATGGGTCCTTCATTAGAAATGAAAAGACACCCTTTAAAATGTTGCTATATTTGAAATAGCCTTCATGTTTGTCTACTCAGCAATATCTTCTAGGTGTTTAAAAAGAATGTTTTACAGGCGACTACAGAAATTAGCAAAATAAATATTTATAATCTTCACTTTACCTTTAGGCTTAACTATTATAAACTAGACGATGAAAATTGCGCTAAATACTAAAGAAAAAGATAAATACAAAATATGTTTAAGTTTTATCTCTGACACCACTTACAGTAGTGTATGTAAAATAAATTATCACAACATTGTAACATTTAATTCCGATCTTTAACACGTCCTTTAATATCATGCCAATGCTGAGTTCTCTGTCTCACAAAAACTCTAAGAGTGTACGTTCCAACGAAAGAGAATTGCTATATCTATATTCACAAAAAAATGTTTCTATATGGTATGTGAATGTAAACGATCAGAGAACGATTAACAGTGCACACATAACTTCTTAAGTTTGAGTTAAGCTTTACGACAAGGTGGTGTTATAATATACTTATTGACAGAACCAATTTTCAAGAATATATTCAACATGAACAAAACCTAGTGTGATAAATGGGTTAAATGACCAGATCAGAGATTCCAAGTTATATGTTTATTTTCATGTCAACGTTTGTTTGGATTAAGTTTATATTTAAAAACCTACCTAGCTTATAGTGTTAAATATGT